ATGAAAATAATGTAGATTCAAGTCATCTCGCTACTCGTCATCCTCCTCTGCCTCGCCGGTGGGCTTGGCGTCACGGAACTCCGGAAGGACGTTGTCGTCGACCACGCGGTACCCGTTTCGGTCGGCGACGTACTTGATGACGTATTCGTTGCCGTCGGGCGCTACCCACGAGTACTCGCCCTCCACGGCCGTTCCTGGGACGCCCTCCTGCTCGTGCTCCATGTGGTCCTGCTCGATGTCGATCACGTCGGAGGGTCGAGCGGCGGTCAGGGCGACCAGAGCCAAGGCGACGATCAGCTGGGAAAATTAGTTTATATATAGAATGTATGTTCAAATGAGGTACCTGTTATCATTCTGAAAACTGAAATTGCTGATCTACAAACTGAAAGAGGAACATCCCAGACTGAGCATGAGTACAGGATATATATCAAAGCTGTTTGGCTGAAACGAAAATTCACTGTAACAAAACCACAGAATGCTGTAGCTTACCAGAACCTTCATTTTTGGATTGGCTGAATTAAGCAACTGTTGTGCTTTGCCTGTCCTGGCCACAATATATACCCAGCTGCCCCGCCGTGCCCACCTGGATGAAGGTCAGTAGTCTCCGGACCTTGAATGGATCAACGAATTTTGTGACCGACCTTGTGAGTTCACTTTTTCAGCTTCACTTGCGATACGAGCAGTTGCTATTCCAGCGTCCGGTTTTGGTTCTTTATAATGTGGATTAAAGTAACGGAATTTTGAGTTGTAAAACGGATGAATGGCGGATTTCACTTTATATAAGTTTAATTATAAAAATGTTTCCCAAAGATGAATGCGGTATTTTTGTCATATTTGTGTTTATGCACTATTGTATAATTCATTCATTTATCAATTTCCTTGTGTTTCCAAACGAATTATTAATTAGTTTATTTAGATGAATATGATAGAACAGCTGCTCTTTCCACATATAACAGTTTTATTACACAAGCCATATGTAATAATTTTAAAAAGTTTGAATATCTACACATCAAAAATGTGTTTTATAAACAGAATCGCCTGTAATATTCCATCGATGTTTATACTAGTAAAATATTAATAAAACTAATGACAATATTAGTAGTAGTAATAAAAATTGTAATTATAGATCATAGTCATGATAGTGGTAATTATTTCAATGATGATTATAACAATAATGCTATTAAGTAGAAGGATATGGATAAGACCAAGAAAATTTACAATTATTTCTGTACAGTATCAATTTTGTCCCATTAGACCTGGGTTGCCAATCTGTTTTACTAGCAGTACCATTTCAGGCTACTGAAAAGTACCAGACAAGCAAAACGTAACAAAACATAAAATTCAAAATGTTTACTTGATTTATTTAGAATTACGCTTTCCTTTCTCTTGTGACGCTTCGGTTGGTTATGATGTCGATGAGCATTTATCTATTTTGTCTACTAGTTGCTGGGAAGGTTGCTAATATGTACATTTCACACCAAGTAACTGAGATTTGCTCAGCCGGCCGACACACACATTGTGGCATAACAATCGGCCTGTAACTCTGAATATAAACAAGAACGATTAAGTTTTCTCGTTATTGAAGATAACTGTCGTAACGGTTAGAACAGTTGATTTAGCATACAATATTTCACATTACCAACAACGCACTAAAGTGAAAATGAAAGAAGTGAAAGTGAAACAGACTGACTGCGGCGCGATAAAGGCCTCCTCTCTCCATGCCGCATGCCCGTCCAACAGTGTTTCCCCATATCTCATCTATATATCCTAGACGTTCGGAAAAAAAAATATTACCAGGGAATTAATATTTACCTGAAAGCTGTACTAACTGTACTTGGCGTACTCAAAAGTAACAGCTTTGGTGACCCTGCATTACACCCTGCTTAGGAGCATGTAGATTTTATTTATAAAGAATCAGAAATCAAATCCAGCATCACGTTTGTTTCCTCTGATGACATTAAGAAAATAATTTTGCATATACAATGCACTTTTGTTTAGCATAATTTTAAGCGAATGAAACCCTTAGACCGTGTTAGTGTTATTACAGTTGTCAGCATGGGAATTGCATTGAGAAAAATACTAGTGTTACAAAATCCATGATACATCACATATATGAATTATTTTGTTCCCTAAAACAATAGTAATATAAAATATTTTCCTTTTGATTTTGAACATCCAAAGAAACGAGGTAGAGGGAGAGGAAGAACAGGGATTGAGAGAAATGAAGGGGGAAGGGGAGAGAGGGAGAAGAGAACAGAAGTCCATTGTTTCATTTGTTGCTCTTCCCATTGTCATTATCATCCTCACTATGACTGGTCTTTATTATTATAATGATTATTATCATTATTTCTACTAGTGTTGTTTCTCATTCTTCCTGCAAAAGAATAATAATTATGCTTCGTTTTCTGTTGTCAAGGTGTATTTTCTCATGTATAAATGTAATCATGTACGATTTTCTTTCTTTTTTTATTGATATTGTTTATTTTTTTCCTTTGCCCTAATTAATGTCTGAATAAAAGACACTGCTTCAATTAAATAGAAATTTATTAATCAAGAAACATTCCCCTTTGTTCACAGCATATATAGCTGCATGGTCACATCCCAGAACTGTATGAATAATCAATATTTGAAATTTCAATCCATGGGACTAGTCATCGGCCTCTTCTGCCTCGCCGGTGGGCTTGTTGTCACGGAACTCCGGAAGGACGTTGTCGTCGACCACGCGGTACCCGTTGTGGTCGGCGACGTACTTGATGACGTATTCGTTGCCGTCGGGCGCTACCCACGAGTACTCGCCCTCCACGGCCGTTCCTGGGACGCCCTCCTGCTCGTGCTCCATGTGGTCCTGCTCGATGTCGATCACGTCGGAGGGTCGAGCGGCGGTCAGGGCGACCAGAGCCAAGGCGACGATCAGCTGGGAAAATTAGTTTATATATAGAATGTATGTTCAAATGAGGTACCTGTTATTATTCTAAAAACTGAAATTGCTGATCTACAACTGAAAGAGGAACATCCCAGACTGAGCATGAGTACAGGATATATATCAAAACTGTTTGGCTGAAACGAAAATTCAATATAACAAAACCACAGAATGCTGTAGCTTACCAGAACCTTCATTTTTGGATTGGCTGAATTAAGCAACTGTTGTGCTTTGCCTGTCCTGGCTACAATATATACCCAGCTGCCCCGCCGCCGTGCCCACCTGGATGAAGGTCAGTAGTCTCCGGACCTTGAATGGATCAACGAATTTTGTGACCGACCTTGTAAGTTCACTTTTTCAGCTTCACTTGCGATACGAGCAGTTGCTATTCCAACGTCCGGTTTTGGTTCTTTATAATGTGGATTAAAGTAACGGAATTTTGAGTTGTAAAACGGATGAATGGCGGATTTCACTTTATATAAGTTTAATTATAAAAATGTTTCCTGAAGATGAATGCGGTATTTTTGTCGTATTCGTGTTTATACACTATTGTATAATTCATTCATTTATCAATTTCCTTGTTTCCAAACGAATTATTTATTAGTTTATTTAGATGAATATGACAGAACAGCTTCTCTTTCCACAGAACAGTTTTATTACACAAGCCATATGTAATAATTTTTAAAAGTTTGAATCTCTACACATGCAACAATGTGTTTTATAAACAGAATCGCCTGTAATATTCCATCGATGTTTATACTAGTAAAATATTAATAAAATTAATGACAATATTAGTAGCAGTAATAAAAATTGTAATTATAGATCATAGTCATGATAGTGGTAATTATTTCAATGATTATAACAATAATGCTATTAAGTAGAAGGATATGGATAAGACCAAGAAAATTTACAATTATTTCTGTACAGTATCAATTTTGTCCCATTAGACCTGGGTTGCCAATCTGTTTTACTAGCAGTACCATTTCAGGCTACTGAAAAGTACCAGACAAGCAAAACGTAACAAAACATAAAATTCAAAATGTTTACTTGATTTATTTAGAATTACGCTTTCCTTTCTCTTGTGACGCTTCGGTAGGTTATGATGTCCATGAGCATTTATCTATTTTGTCTACTAGTTGCTGGGAAGGTTGCTATGTACATTCCAAACCAAGTAACTGAGATTTGCTCAGCCGGCCGACACACACATTGTGGCATAACAATCGGCCTGTAACTCTGAATATAAACAAGAACGATTAAGTTTTCTCGTTATTGAAGATAACTGTCGTAACGGTTAGAACAGTTGATTTAGCATACAATATTTCACATTACCAACAACGCACTAAAGTGAAAATGAAAGAAGTGAAAGTGAAACAGACTGACTGCGGCGCGATAAAGGCCTCCTCTCGCCATGCCACTTTCCCGTCCAACAGTGTTTCCCCATATCTCATCTATATATCCTAGACGTTCGAGAAAAAAAAATATTACCAGGGAATTAATATTTACCTGAAAGCTGTACTAACTGTACTTGGCGTACTCAAAAGTAACAGCTTTGGTGACCCTGCATTACACCCTGCTTAGGAGCATGTAGATTTTATTTATAAAGAATCAGAAATCAAATCCAGCATCACGTTTGTTTCCTCTGATGACATTAAGAAAATAATTTTGCTTATACAATGCACTTTTAGCATAATTTTAAGCGAATGAAACCCTTAGACCGTGTTAGTGTTATTACAGTTGTCAGCATGGGAATTGCATTGAGAAAAATACTAGTGTTACAAATCCATGATACATCACATATATGAATTATTTTGTTCCCTAAAACAATAGTAATATAAAATATTTTTCCTTTTGATTTTGAACATCCAAAGAAACGAGGTAGAGGGAGAGGAAGAACAGGGATTGAGAGAAATGAAGGGGAAGGGAGAGAGGGAGAAGAGAACAGAAAGTCCATTGTTTTCATTTGTTGCTCTTCCCATTGTCATTATCATCCTCACTATGACTGGTCTTTATTATTATATTGATTATTATCATTATTTCTACTAGTGTTGTTTCTCATTCTTCCTGCAAAAGAATAACAATTATGCTTCGTTTTCTGTTGTCAAGGTGTATTTTCTCATGTATAATGTAATCATGTACGATTTTCTTTCTTTTTTTATTGATATTGTTTATTTTTTCCTTTGCCCTAATTAATGTCTGAATAAAAGGCACTGCTTCAATTAAATAGAAATTTATTAATCAAGAAACATTCCCCTTTGTTCACAGCATATATAGCTGCATGGTCACATCCCAGAACTGTATGAATAATCAATATTTGAAATTTCAATCCATGGGACTAGTCATCGGCCTCCTCTGCCTCGCCGGTGGGCTTGTTGTCACGGAACTCCGGAAGGACGTTGTCGTCGACCACGCGGTACCCGTTGTGTCGGCGACGTACTTGATGACGTATTCGTTGCCGTCGGGCGCTACCCACGAGTACTCGCCCTCCACGGCCGTTCCTGGGACGCCCTCCTGCTCGTGCTCCATGTGGTCCTGCTCGATGTCGATCACGTCGGAGGGTCGAGCGGCGGTCAGGGCGACCAGAGCCAAGGCGACGATCAGCTGGGAAAATTAGTTTATATATAGAATGTATGTTCAAATGAGGTACCTGTTATTATTCTAAAAACTGAAATTGCTGATCTACAACTGAAAGAGGAACATCCCAGACTGAGCATGAGTACAGGATATATATCAAAACTGTTTGGCTGAAACGAAAATTCAATATAACAAAACCACAGAATGCTGTAGCTTACCAGAACCTTCATTTTTGGATTGGCTGAATTAAGCAACTGTTGTGCTTTGCCTGTCCTGGCTACAATATATACCCAGCTGCCCCGCCGTGCCCACCTGGATGAAGGTCAGTAGTCTCCGGACCTTGAATGGATCAACGAATTTTGTGACCGACCTTGTAAGTTCACTTTTTCAGCTTCACTTGCGATACGAGCAGTTGCTATTCCAACGTCCGGTTTTGGTTCTTAATAATGTGGATTAAAGTAACGGAATTTTGAGTTGTAAAACGGATGAATGGCGGATTTCACTTTATATAAGTTTAATTATAAAAATTATTACCGAAGATGAATGCGGTATTTTTGTCGTATTTGTGTTTATACACTTGTCTAATTCATTCATTTATCAATTTCCTTGTATTTCCAAACGCATTATTAATTAGCTTACTTTGAGGAAAATGATAGAACGGCTGCTGTTTCCACATAAAATAGTTTTATTACATAAGCTATATATAATGCTTTAAAAAAAAAAAAGTTTGAATCTCTACACATGCAAAAATGTGTTTTATAAACAGAACTGCCTGAAATATTCCATCGATGCTTATGTTACTAGTAAAATATTAATAAAACTGATGACAATATTAGTAGCAGTAATAGAAATTGTAATAATTGTAATGATGGAAGATCATAGTCATGATAATGGTAATTATTTCAATGATGATTATTAAAATAATGGTATTATGTAGAAGGATATGGATAAGAACAAGAAAATTTACAATTCTTTCTGTACAGTATCAATTTTGTTCCATTAGACCTGGGTTGCCAATCTGTTTTACAAGCAGTACCATTTCAGGCTACTGAAAAATACCAGACAAGCAAAACGTAACAAAACATAAAATTCAAAATGTTTACTTGATTTTTTTAGAATTACGCTTTCCTTTCTCTTGTGACACTTCGGTAGGTTATGATGTCGATGAGCATTTATCAATTTTGTCTACTAGTTGCTGGGAAGGTTGCTGTGTACATTCCAAATCAAGTAACTGAGATTTGCTCAGCCGGCCGACACACACATTGTGGCATAACAATCGGCCTGTAACTCAGAATATAAACAAGAACGATTAAGATTTCTCGTTATTGAAGATAACTATCATAGCTGTTAGAATAGTTGATTTAGCATACAATATTTCACATCACCAACAACGCACTAATAGGGAAAGTGAAACAGACTGACTGCGACGCGATAAAGGCTTCCTCTCTCCATGCCACATGCCCGTCCAACAGTGTTTTCCCCATATCTCATCTATATATCCTAGACGTTCGAGAAAAAAAAATATTACCAGGGAATTAATATTTACCTGAAAGCTGTACTAACTGTTACTTGGCGTACTCAAAAGTACCAGCTTTGGTGACCCTGCATTACACCCTGCCTAGGAGCATGTAGATTTTATTTATAAAGAATCAGAAATCAAATCCAGCAACACGTTTGTTTCCTCTGATGACATTAAGAAAATAATTTTGCATATACAATGCACTTTTGTTTAGCATAACTTTAAGCGAATTAAACCCTTACACCGTGTTAGTGTTATTACAGTTGTCAGCATGGGAATTGCATTGAGAAAAAAACTAAAGTGTTACAAATCCATGATACATCACATATATGAATTATTTTGTTCTCGAAAACAATAGTAATATAAGATATTTTTCTTTTGATTTTGAACATCCAAAGAAACGAGGTAGAGGAAGGGAGAAGAACAGGGATTGAGAGAAAGGAAGGGGAAAGGGGAGAGAGGGAGAAGAGAACAGAAGTCCATTGTTTCATTTGTTGCTCTTCCCATTATCATTATCATCCTCACTATGACTGGTCTTTATCATTATATTGATTATTATCATTATTTCTACTAGTGTTTCTCATTCTTCCTGCAAAAGAATAACAATTATGCTTCGTTTTCTGTTGTCAAGGTGTATTTTCTCATGTATAAATGTAATCATGTACGATTTTCTTTATTGTTTTTTTATTATTGATATTGTTTATTTTTTCCTTTGCCCTAATTAATGTCTGAATAAAAGACACTGCTCCAATTAAATAGAAATTTATTAATCAAGAAACATTCCCCTTTGGTCACAGCATATATAGCTGCATGGTCACATCCCACAACTGTACGAATAATCAATATTTGAAATTTCATGGGACTAGTCATCGGCCTCCTCTGCCTCGCCGGTGGGCTTGGCGTCACGGAACTCCGGAAGGACGTTGTCGTCGACCACGCGGTACCCGTTTCGGTCGGCGACGTACTTGACGACGTATTCGTTCCCGTCGGGCGCTACCCACGAGTACTCGCCCTCCACGGCCGTTCCTGGGACGCCCTCCTGCTCGTGCTCCATGTGGTCCTGCTCGATGTCGATCACGTCGGAGGGTCGAGCGGCGGTCAGGGCGACCAGAGCCAAGGCGACGATCAGCTGGGAAAATTAGTTTATATATAATGTATGTTCAAATGAGGTACCTGTTATTATTCTAAAAACTGAAATTGCTGATCTACAACTGGAAGAGGAACATCCCAGACTGAGCATGAGTACAGGATACATATCAAAGCTGTTTGGCTGAAACGAACATTCAATATAACAAAACCACAGACTGCTGTAGCTTACCAGAACCTTCATTTTTGGACTGGCTGAATTAAGCAACTGTTGTGCTTTGCCTGTCCTGGCTACAATATATACCCAGCTGCCCCGCCGTGGCCACCTGGATGAAGGTCAGTAGTCTTCGGACCTTGAATGGACCAACGAATTTTGTGACCGACCTTGTGTGTTCACTTTTTCAGCTTCACTTGCGATACGAGCAGTTGCCATTCCAGCGTCCGGTTTTGGTTCTTTATAATGTGGATTAAAGTAACGGAATTTTGAGTTGTAAAACGGATGAATGGCGGATTTCACTTTATATAAGTTTAATTATAAAAATTATTACCGAAGATGAATGCGGTATTTTTGTCGTATTTGTGTTTATACACTATTGTCTAATTCATTTATCAATTTCCTTGTTGTGTTTCCTAGCGAATTATTAATTAGCTTACTTAGATGAATATGATAGAACAGCTGCTGTTTCCACATAAAATAGTTTTATTACATAAGCTATATATAATGCTTTAAAAAAAAGTTTGAATCTCTACACATGCAAAAATGTGTTTTATAAACAGAACTGCCTGAAATATTCCATCGATGCTTATGTTACTAGTAAAATATTAATAAAACTGATGACAATATTAGTAGCAGTAATAGAAATTGTAATAATTGTAATGATGGAAGATCATAGTCATGATAATGGTAATTATTTCAATGATGATTATTATAATAATGCTATTATGTAGAAGGATATGGATAAGAACAAGAAAATTTACAATTCTTTCTGTACAGTATCAAATTTGTCCCATTAGACCTGGGTTGCCAATCTGTTTTACTAGCAGTACCATTTCAGGCTACTGAAAAGTACCAGACAAGCAAAACGTAACAAAACATAAAATTCAAAATGTTTACTTGATTTATTTAGAATTACGCTTTCCTTTCTTTTATTATGTCGATGAGCATTTATCTATTTTGTCTACTAGTTGCTGGGAAGGTTGCTGTGTACATTCCAAACCAAGTAACTGAGATTTGCTCTGCCGGCCGACACACACATTGTGCCATAACAATCGGTCTGTAACTCTGAATAAAAACAAGAACGATTAAGATTTCTCATTATTGAAGATAACTATCATAGCTGTTAGAATAGTTGATTTAGCATACAATATTTCACATTACCAACAACGCACTAATAGTGAAAGTGAAACAGACTGACTGCGACGCGATAAAGGCCTCCTCTCTCCATGCCACATGCCCGTCCAACAGTGTTTCCCCATATCTCATCTATATAGCCTAGACGTTCGGGGAAAAAAAGAATATTACCAGGAAATTAATATTTACCTGAAAGCTGTACTAACTGTTACTTGGCGTACTCAAAAGTACCAGCTTTGGTGACCCTGCATTACACCCTGCCTAGGAGCATGTAGATTTTATTTATAAAGAATCAGAAATCAAATCCAGCATCACGTTTGTTTCCTCTGATGACATTAAGAAAATAATTTTGCATATACAATGCACTTTTGTTTAGCATAATTTTAAGCGAATGAAACCCTTAGACCGTGTTAGTGTTATTCCAGTTGTCAGCATGGGAATTGCATTGAGAAAAATACTAAAGTGTTACAAATCCATGATACATCACATATATGAATTATTTTGTTCTCTAAAACAATAGTAATATAAAATATTTTCCTTTTGATTTTAAACATCCAAAGAAACGAGGTAGAGGAAGGGAGAGGAAGAACAGGGATTGAGAGAAAGGAAGGGGAAAGGGGAGAGAGGGAGAAGAGAACAGAAGTCCATTGTTTCATTTGTTGCTCTTCCCATTGTCATTATCATCCTCACTATGACTGGTCTTTATTATTATAATGATTATTATCATTATTTCTACTAGTGTTGTTTCTCATTCTTCCTGCAAAAGAATAACAATTATGCTTCGTTTTCTGTTGTCAAGGTGTATTTTCTCATGTATAAATGTAATCATGTACGATTTTCTTTATTGTTTTTTTTTTTTAATATTGTTTATTTTTTCCTTTGCCCTAATTAATGTCTGAATAATACACACTGCTTCAATTAAATAGAAATTTATTAATCAAGAAACATTCCCCTTTGTTCACAGCATATATAGCTGCATGGTCACATCCCACAACTGTATGAATAATCAATATTTGAAATTTCAATCCATGGGACTAGTCATCGGCCTCCTCTGCCTCGCCGGTGGGCTTGGCGTCACGGAACTCCGGAAGGACGTTGTCGTCGACCACGCGGTACCCGTTTCGGTCGGCGACGTACTTGACGACGTATTCGTTCCCGTCGGGCGCTACCCACGAGTACTCGCCCTCCACGGCCGTTCCTGGGACGCCCTCCTGCTCGTGCTCCATGTGGTCCTGCTCGATGTCGATCACGTCGGAGGGTCGAGCGGCGGTCAGGGCGACCAGAGCCAAGGCGACGATCAGCTGGGAAATGGAACAGGGGTAAAGGACGTATGTTCAATCAAATGGATGTCTTAACTATAGATCATGAAAAGATCCCAAATGTTCAAACTTGCCAGAACACTCTGGAGTGAAGCCTATCAAGCTACAGAATTTACAGAAAAGTTGGTGCATTCCTAATGAAATATTGCCCACACATCGTATATTCTAACTCACCTGAACCTTCATGTTTGTGAGGACTTAGTAGAGCAACTGTAGAGCTTTGCTTGTCCTGCTGCAATTTATACCCAACACCGCCGCGGTCACCTTCAAGGCCACGAGTTTTCGGACCTTGAATCGATGAATTAATTGTTGACTGACCTTGTGAGTTCAGCTTTTCGATTCTTTTAGCCTAGTAACTGTCACTTTTCAATGTTGGTTAGTTATGTATATGTGAGTGAACATTTAGGCAAAATAGTAAACCAAATGATGGCTATCAATGTTGTATATGAATATGCAAATTAAGCCTTTTGATCTATCTGGTGTATGAGTATATATATACTATATATAAGTATGTACATATGCATATACATATGTGTGCATTTTATTCTTTCCTTTTTCTGCATACGCACACATAGACATAAATGTGTAGACATGTGTATATGTATATATTTGTATATATGCATGTACATACATGTGTGTGTGTGTATGTATGTACATAATATGATATTCAATTTGTTTAACTTGTTAGTAATATTGATAAAGTTATTTGGGTGCTGAAGTGTATTTCATTTGCTGAACTAATTACATCATAAGCTAATCATTGATAATGCAACAGTTATGATATAGTATGCAAATGAGAGGGGGTGAATGGTTGGTAGGCACTGATGGTAGAATGACAAGAGGATGGGAGAAAAAGAAAAGAGAAAGGAAGGGAGAAGAGGGAGAACGAGGTAGATGAAGGGATAGGGAGAAGAGGGATTGAGAGAAAGGAAGGAGAAAAGGGAAAGGGAGGAGAGAATATAAGTCCATTGATTCATTTATTGCACTTCCCATTATCATTATCCTCACTATGACTGATCATTATCATATTTATAATCATTGTCATTATTTCTCCTAGTTAAGTTCATTCTTCATGCAAAAGAATAACAATTATGCCTCTTTTTCTGGTGTCAAGATTTAAGCATGTCTTTTGATTTCCTTCAAATACGTTATATCTTAAAATGCATAAAATAGAATCCTTTCCTCAAGCCGAAATATTAGTTACTTTTTCATCTGTGTTGATTATTTGTCAATTATCCCCATGAAAATACATAAATATTTGACTTTTGTCTTAAATGAACTAGCATTTGATTGAATTTATTCCTCTTTTTTAATAGGATGTTTATATGTGCATATATATTTATAATCATTCATGAAGTTAAAAATGATATCAAACTAAGCAAATTTATCGTAAAATATTTAATACCGTAATATTTTCTCTTATGATCACAGCATCTTAATTCATTTGATTACAATCGAAAGTACACGAGAGATGAATTTCCAACATCATATTCATGGCATTAATCGTCAACCTCTGCCTCGCCGGTGGGCTTGGCGTCACGGAATTCCGGAAGGACGTTGTCGTCGACCACGCGGTACCCGTTTCGGTCGGCGACGTACTTGATGACGTATTCGTTCCCGTCGGGCGCTACCCACGAGTACTCGCCCTCCACGGCCGTTCCTGGGACGCCCTCCTGCTCGTGCTCCATGTGGTCCTGCTCGATGTCGATCACGTCGGAGGGTCGAGCGGCGGTCAGGGCGACCAGAGCCAAGGCGACGATCAGCTGGGAAATGAAATAATTTTAAAATTTAGAGAGATCCATAAAACTCCTAGTGGTTTACAGGAATGGGGCAACTGTACCATATTCTATGGCTGGAAGAAGGATATTTGATTTCATATAGATCAAACTGATTATTGCAAATACATAGATAGCATACTCTGAACTAACCAGAACTTTCATGTTTGTATGAGCTTTGCAGAGCAACTGTTGTCCTGTACTTGTCCTGCTGCTATTTATACCCAGGTGCATCGGCGCGGTCACCCTGAAGGCTAGAACTCTTCGGACCTTGATAAAATGAACGATCTTTTGAGCAATTCTGCTGTTATATCTTGCTTTTGCACTTTTGCATGTGGTGGCTGTTTCTTTTAATCAATGCTAAAGTAAACATTAGACTTGGAGAATGAAACTAATAGCAAAAAGATGGAGGATACTTTAATAGGACGTTTATATGTGCGTATGTGTATATGTATTCACACACATATGTCTATGTGTATATAAACATACATATATATGTATGTATGCTGAATATACTAGTTATGAATTGTTTTTGATAATGGAAAATGCTAATCCACTTGTATCACATTACACTATATACATGTATAAGTATGTACAGTATATACACAACTATTTATACATTCATTTATATAGACATACACATATGGATGTGTATGTATATGTACATAGAAACACACATAAAGATATAAATGACCCTTACCACTGTTACCGGACTTCCAGACTTCCATTTTTTTTATTTCTTATAGTGCGTGCAAATATATGCACTGCCTCGACTGATTAAACTATTCTACCGTGTAAATCAAATCAGGATTGCCTACTGTACCACCAACTAATAGCTTAGTTGGGCAGATCTTTCTCTAGGCCAACGAGAAATAACCAAGGTGTATGTTGCCAAAACCCAAGTTGCCAATGTGAAAAGAAAAATAGATAATTTAGAAGACTATGAACCCACTCGAAGAGAATGTGAAAGTCTCCTCTCCCAGACAGGACAGGATGCTGTAAATGTGGTTAAACAAGATCGCTCAAAATCATCCAAGCAAATGGCTAATGAATGGAAGAACTATGGCTTCTAATGTACGCTCTCTATAGTTAGTAAAGGAATTAAATGAGATGGGACACTGTCCATGCAGGGGCCAACTGAGGTGTCGAAGGCTACCTACAACCCTGAAGAAACAACTGGCCTGGGCGATGGCTCACAAGGATTGGACATCAGAGGATTGGGAAAAGGTAAATCTCACTTAAGTCTTCATTTCGACTGTTTCTATGCAATTCGAACGTAATTTGGTGAAATACGTATACAAACATGGGAAAAAATATGTTACAAAACAGTCTAGATATAAATCATATAGAATGTTTATGGAATCATTTAAAAGACGAGATAAGTCAAGTAGAATATACTAAGGTGAGTTAAATGAACGATAGGTAAAGGTATAGCAAAAAAAAAAAAAAAATCTAGGAATATTCCCGCCGGTCCATTCGGTACATGCCAAGACGTGTTGCTGTTGTGCTTAAGGCTAAGGAGGGCGATTCCGATTGCTGATATGTCACAAAAGCACGCAAATGAAATTAGGAAATAAGTTGCTTTCATTTTAGGATACACATTCTACAACAAATGGTTGAAACCGCCAGTGGTCTCAATAATTGTCAGTACTGTGCACCTTATCAATAATTGAAACGGCCATAAAGGGGATCCAGTGTGTGTGTTTGTGTGCACATTTCTGTATGCATATATGTATGGTCAAATGATATGATTACAGCGAGAAAAAAGAAAGAGATAGGTGAGAAAGAAAAAAATAAAGACGGAAAGAAAACAAAAATATGTAGGTGAAAAATTTACTGCCTTGCTCAGAAGCCCAGAAGAGTATCATTACGAAAATTTATATTCATATAAGCAGTTTACAGAACAGCAGTAAATGGATATCAGAATTCAGTGAAAGTAACATGCCCATTTACATCAGTCCATTAGGTAGAGAACAGAGAATGGACAAATTACTGGTCACTATATACTAATGAGAGAAATTACCAATATATACACAATGATACAAAATAAGGATTTTTGGGGATATGAATATATTTATATATATACATATATATATATGATCTGTACTTATATTAACGAAAATTCTCTTTGTTTCCATACTGTAACTGTGTTCTCATACAGAAATTGAAGGAATTTAAATGACTGTAGTAGTAGTAGATCTAATGCTCTATTGTATCTAACGCAAATAGAACAGTTGCATCTATAATTTGGTTCAAGTTTTTCTTGATGTCTCAATTAATATTCTATATCTTATGCTACTGAATAATGTATAACAAATTTGCATATTCTGTTCCATTTATCCATTCATTTATTCGTCGATATCTATGTTTTCTGGTAAGTAGGGTGTCGTATCAGTTCTTACTTGAATTTTCAAGATTCTAGTAGTTTCTCATATATTTAGCCTTGTTTTTTCACTTATTTTCGATTTATATCTTGTTGCCTCTCTTATTTTATTCTTTTTTAGGCCTTCACAAAATATCTATTCCTCGTAGCTTATGTATGTGGAACCGCAGTGAATATCAAAGTAATTTTATCTTATATTTATTAGAAGAAAGTTTCCCCCATGGTCATCTTTTCACCACAGCCCAAAAGTGTATAAGAGATAAATATTTTAGCAACAGAATGGTGGCACTACTCGTCGTCAGCCTCCTCTGCCTCGCCGGTGGGCTTGGCGTCACGGAATTCCGGAAGGACGTTGTCGTCGACCACGCGGTACCCGTTTCGGTCGGCGACGTACTTGACGACGTATTCGTTCCCGTCGGGCGCTACCCACGAGTACTCGCCCTCCACGGCCGTTCCTGGGACGCCCTCCTGCTCGTGCTCCATGTGGTCCTGCTCGATGTCGATCACGTCGGAGGGTCGAGCGGCGGTCAGGGCGACCAGAGCCAAGGCGACGATCAGCTGGGAAACGGAACGTGGTTGTTAATCTATCATCAGATATTATTAAGAGAAACATTTAAAACCTACAAAATGCAACTCAACGGAGCCTCCACATTCTTCTTAGCAACCTAATTCAAAATGAAAGCAATCATAGAAAGAAAACCAAGAAAAATATAGACAATATAAATCGTGCTCCAACTCACCAGGACCTTCATATTGTATGGGCTTCGTAGAGCAACTGTTGTCCTGCGCTTGTCCCGCCGCCATTTATACCCAGACGCATCGCCGTGGTCACCTTGAAGGCCGGCCATCGCGGGACCTAAAAGACGATTCTGTGACTGACCTTGCGAGTGCAGTTTTTCGGTTTTGTGTTTTGACCAAGTGTCACTTTTTGCCCAAACGACTGGTTCGAGTAGATTATGTTTGTGGACACGCGGCTTTTAAATGAATATGCAAGGAGATAAATGTAATGTGTTTGGTATATGACAGGTGAAAATCAATCTATGCTCTAATTTTTATTCATTACACACGCGCGTGCGCGCACACACACGTGTGTGGGTTTGTTTATATGTATATATTCATATGTACATATATACATACACATATGTCTGTATCCATACAAAAGCATATAAACAATATAGACGTATACATATGGATATATTCATGTACATGCATATATATATAGACAAATATATGTGAGTGTATATATAGAGAGAGATGAATATGTGAACACAAGCACACAGTAGCGTACACAAACATGAAAATGAAAACAGCCACAAAAAGTAAAGAAAATAAACGCTTATTTTCTTTTCTTACTGTGGCTGTTTTCATTTTCATATACATATATATATACATGTGTGTGAGTATGTATGTATATATACATATGAATGTATATTACATAATATATAAGTAATATACATATATATATATGTAAATATATATACATACATATATATATATGTATGTATGTATGTATGTATGTATGTATGTATGTGAACACATACATATATAATTATATATAATATACATACATGTAATTATATATATAATATAAATGTGTGTACATCTGTATATTTTAATGTGTATGTTTTCCCAAGAAAAGCATTCAAACTTTTAGTTTGAACCATTGTCTATTGTAGACAGATAATCATACTCTTTCTGATCGCACCTACTTATACTGTTTAATGTAAGATGCCTATACTATATGCGTTTTTCAGTTTGTTTGTTTTTTTTTGTTTTTTGCTTATACATGAGTGTGTATATATATATATATATATATATATATATATATATATATATATATATATATATATATATTACAGTTTTACACTTTACTAATGTAACGTTTATTTTTACTTTCTATTCGATATATTTTTCTTCTTTTCCAAGTAGAATACATACAAAGTCAAGAGAGATGGAGTGAAGTAGAGAAAGTAAAGAGATAAGAAACAGAGACAGTTTAGAAAAAGAAAGAAGTGAGAGAAAAGAATGAATAGGAGAAGGGAGAATCCGTCAGAGTATGAGAAACGTCTTGGTTAGAATTGGAATCTAAAATCTTTACTTACGTTACACACACATATAAAGAATATGATAATCTTTTAGAAGATAAAGGAGTATTTTATATAAACCTTTTTCAACTTTGAACAAATGAAAGAACAAATAAGACAATAACAAAAGCTGAAATATTGCTAACTTTGTACAAATAAAGATCATAACCATTAAAACCTGCGTTATGCTGTCATTCGGGACAGATATTACGTCACAGCTGTCTTAGCACAAAGATGGACTTTGGCATGATCACTGAACACAATAAATTCCTTGCTACCATATTTCTTACTCCGTTCTCTTACAAAGATGTAAAAGAAGGGAAGATGTGATTGGTCTGTATTTAGAAATGGTGTGTTTATTAGATATAAGGAAGAGGTTATATCTCTCCTGGGGTTCAGTTATTAATTATTTTTGCTGCAAAGGTTCAGTATATTCGGTGATTTCCATGCAAGGAAATGATGTCAAACTAGAGCATTTAATCGTAATATTTATTATATTTCCTTTCGCGGTCACAGTATCTACATTCTTTTGATTCGGCTTGGAAGCATTAGACAAACATTTCGCATTAGTCGTCATCCTCCTCTGCCTCGCCGGTGGGCTTGGCGTCACGGAATTCCGGAAGGACGTTGTCGTCGACCACGCGGTACCCGTTGTGGTCGGCGACGTACTTGACGACGTATTCGTTCCCGTCGGGCGCTACCCACGAGTACTCGCCCTCCACGGCCGTCCCTGGGACGCCCTCCTGCTCGTGCTCCATGTGGTCCTCCTCGATGTCGATCACGTCGGAGGGTCGAGCGGCGGTCAGGGCGACCAGAGCCAAGGCGACGATCAACTGTGCAATTGAATAACAGTATTGGATATATCTCATAAAAACTGTAATTGATATATATTTTTTTTATCTATTTCTAGGAAATTGAGAAAAATAAGACACCTCTACTGAACAGCTTCCTTCACACTCACCAGAACCTTCATGACTGTTACTGCTTAGGAGACCAACTGCAGCGGTGGCCGTGTCTTGGCTTCAATTTATACCCAGCAACCCCACCATTGTCACCTTGAACGCCAAAAAGTGTTCGGACCTTGGATGAAAGAATTCTGTGACTGACTTTTTTCTCACTTTTTCGGTTTCACTTTTGCTTAGATTGTTTTTTCAATTTACTGTCTGAATGTTATATATGCGTCAGTTATTCTATTTACCAGCCTCTAGTACTCATATCTCCTTTTTTTTTTAATTAAGTAAACCACATTGCATTATAATTTACTGAACGCAGAATAGAATGAATTAATAAAATGCAAGGAAATGCACATAGATGTTAGTATCAAAAATTGTCTAAACACCAACGTGTCTCGAAATCATCTTTTAAGCCGTCGCACATACCCCGATCACCACTCCGACATAACGAGTACCACGCTGACATCAATTCCGACGAAACACGCCTGCAATATTCATCATCCTTTCTACTATCGTGAAAACTCATTCTGTACGGCTATATATATATATGTATATATATATATATATATATATATATATATATATATATATATATATATATATAGTGATTCCCTGTCTAAGACACAAACAGACTCAGAAAATACACATACACGAAAAAAGTGCATTACATGAAGCAACAAGTAGACAGCTGACTATATCAATTGTTTAATGATATGACAGACAAACAAAAAGATAAGTTATCTATTAGAGCGGAGCGGGACGACGAAATGCATCACCACGATGATTTGTAAGACTTCACAGACGCATGATAAAAAAAAAAAAAAAAAAAAATTTCTCCAGTAAGTTCAGTATATCGACACGATTTCACCGTTATCATTATCCTGAAACTAAGATTTGTATTATTATGCTGAAACTAAGAAACTGTTCGCTTAATTCCGCTGATATTATTAAGAGATCTGCGCATAATGAGACCTGCTTTACGCACCAACATATTCCACGCAAAATCTAGCAACTATGAATACCTAAATGATTTATAATAGGTTTGGCTAGGAACTTTATTCGTTTTAGAATCGATCAAGCCAATATATAGAAAAAAAATTGGCAAATCAATCTACATATACATATACACATACATACACTCACACACACACATATATATATACATACATATATATATATTATATATATATATATATATATATATATATATATATATTATATATGTATATGTATGTATGTATGTGTATGTATGTATATGTATGTATGCACATGTATATATATGTTTATGCATATATGTGTGTATAATATATATATATATATATATATATATATATATATATATATATATATATTTATATATATAATATATATGTATGTATGTATGTATGTATGTATATATATATATTATATATATATATATATATATATATATATATATATATGTATATATGTATGATATATGTATATTATATATATGCATGTATGTATATATATATATATATATATATATATATATATATATATATATATATATATATATATGTATATGCATAGATATACATGTATATACAGACACATGTACATGTACGTATATATGCAAAAATGTACATACACTGTATATACTTATATTATATACATATACATATGTATGTATGTGTTTTTATATATGCATGTATGTATACGCTCACCCATACATATGCATATATATACATACATATACACCAAACACACACACAAGCATATATATATACATGTATATTATATTTTATTATATACATATGTATTATATTATATACATATATATTATATTATATACATATATACAGTATACATGCATATTTGTATGTGTACTCTAAGCATACATTTATCTATTTTTTATCTATATATCGATATATACATATATTTGTATGAGTGTGAGTATGTTTATGTGTGTATGTGTGCAAGTGTGTAGATCAGTATATGCATCTAAATGTGCGAATGTCTGCGTTCGTGTAGAAACAGCAGATATACTGTTAGAAATAGGAATAGATATATGCCTT